CTTTCCCACGATATTATCGGTAACAATTCAAGTTTAGCAATGCCGAAACTTTTCGAAAGAGACTGTGGTGGTGGTGGTGGCAGAGCGGTCTGGTAATTGGACACCGGCAACTACGTTGGAAACTAGAAAAACCACAGAAATATGGTGGTCGACGTGATTACAGGGCGGTTGACGGACGATCATCAGAGTTTCGGAGGACTGAATGAACCGGCCGGAAACGGGTTCACTTTCAATTTCCTCTGTCAAGACGAGGACGTGATTATTTATTATTTTTTAAAACGAGGAAATATGATTAAATTCGATCGGGCGAAAATGAGAATAGCTTCTTGTACGATAAAAAAAAGTATCAGTTTCTAACAGTTGCGCGTAAACTTTTCACTTTTCAATTTGATCGATCGATCGAAAATAGGAACGGTTTCTCCTGTATAAAATGAAAAGTATCGTATCTAGAAAAATTCGCATAATATCGTGATTTATTTGAAGAAAACTAATCGATCGATTGAAACGTTTCTTACGTTAAAATAAAAAAAGCTATCGTTTCTAATTAACATTGCATATATACGTCCCGAGGAAGAAAGAGAAATGGAAAGAGAATGGAAGAAAAAGCGAAACTCGCTTACCTTTCGCGTTACGAATAATTTTGACGATTGCGGGGAGGTGGGGGTAGGAAGAGGGGTGTCCTTAGGAAGGCTTCGTTTTCGGCGGGCATTTGTCCCCAAATAATTGGGCGGAACGGAGCGCCGCGTCTCCTCTGCAATTATAGGCAGTAAACGTGGCCACATCCGGCACAAGCAGCTCTCCTAGCTCAAGTGGGATAATTCGCTGCGGAAAGACAACGATTAGGACGATCGAAGGGGATGAGAAGAGACGACTCTGCCCCTTGTCTCACTCCGGATGTGTTTAGTTAACGAAAATCGAAGAAGAAAGAAGAAGAAGAAAGTGGAGGGATTCGAGACTTTAAGAGAGACATTGTTCCACACGCGTGTTCTTGTATTTCTTTCTTTCTTTCTTTCTTTCTTTCTTTTTTTTCGTTGTTCTTCTATTCCGTTCATTCCTATTAAGGAAGAAGCGGAAGACGATTGCACGATTGTTCGAGAAGAGGCTCAGCGATCAATCAGTTTCTTTATATATCTTTAGGAAAGTGTTAGAAGACGTGTTGCAACTCGATCAATTTTCAAGATAAAACAATGAAATTTAGGGGATATCTATAAAAAAAGAAAAAGAAATCTTTCTCGGTACAATTGGGATTTTTGTGGCTCATTCGTTTCGACTTTGTCACTCTCTATTCTCCGTCTCTTTTCTTTCAACGCGAAATTGCAACGTCGAAGGAGCGAGAGATGTTACGAGCAATCCGCGATGCATGCGAACATGCACTCTCGATCGTCGAAATTCAACACACCGTCTTCTTCCTCGGGAGTATAATGTAACCAATAATAATCATGAAAAATAGAACTATTTTTTTCTTTTTTTGTTCATGTTGGCCATATATAAATTTATTCTGTGCGATACAATTGAAAAAATATATACAGTGTGCCTTATAAAATGTATCAGGATCGAAAAAATTTGTTCAACCGAGGAAAGAAATTTCTTGCGAAAAGAACGATTTATTCCAGATTGTTGTTTCGCCAATTCTTATTTTTTCTTTTCTCTCTCTCTTTTTTATTTCACATCGAAAGAACGTTGGCTAAATATTAGTATACCAACGTTGGACGATTTGAAACAAAGAGAATGAAAATTACGCGATAATATCGACAAAAGTGATGAAAATCATTCAACGAAAAATAAATAGTAATAAGCCAAAGATTTCGCGATATTCTATCGTGTGTTCGCCTATAATGAGTTGGTGAAGTTTCGTACAATCAACGTATACAAGTACCGGTTAAATCATTTTATGTATATATATATATATATACTATATGCATTATTTTTTTCCATCTGTCAATTAATATATACAACGTTACACGTACTTACATAACATCACATCGTTCTTTCTAGGATCGATAAACTCTACGGTTGCTCTTAAATTAAATAAGTGCCTAATCGAGACAGATTTACACGCTCTATTTCGATGATGACGACGACGAATCTTAACGATACACCTATATAATATTTATAACTTATTCAATCTTATCTTTTCTCGCGTTAATATATACCCTTAATTATGATCCTTTGTATGCCTAAGAAAATAATATGTACAAAATGGTGTACGCGTGTGCGTGTGTCTTTATATATATATATATATATATGTATATATAGGTATATCACGTATCACGAAGATCGCGAGAAAAACTGTAAAAATTAATCGGAATTCGTTAGCGAGATCGATAAAATGATCATCGATATATAAATTTACGGTAAAAGAATCGTCCTTTTTCCACTCTCGCGATTTTCGTAAGATCGTTTTACCTAATTCGTAACGTGTGGAGCGTGTGTCGAAATGTTCGAAACGAAAACGATGTTTCACCGCCGAGTCGATCGACAGAATAAACGGATCAACGTCGTACGTCCTTATATATATTACAAACTATCGCGCTAATATATACACAGATATGTCGTATCGATTAGGTCGCGCACCGTTCGAGGAATCGTATCGAGGAGGATTTCGTTTCGAATTTGATCGAACAAGTATCCGCCATTTCAATTATTGCTGTGTGTAGCAGTGAAATAAATAATCGATATCGGGACGAAATTCTTCGGCTATGCAACACAACACAAACTTTCTTCTTTTTTAAACGACGAGCCTCTTTTCATTTTCCTTCTCTCCTTTTCTCTTTTTTACGCGAATCAACGTAAAAAAAATATATATATATATAATTTCTCTCTCTTTACGAAAAAAAAAAAAAAAGAAAAGAAAAGAAAAGAAACGTTAACATTAATTATTTGGTTTCGTAATTTTTGGCGCTTGTCTTTTCTCAATATAGTTATTATATATTCGATCGCGTTCGCGTTCGTGAAACGAAATAAATTTGCGAAATCAATCAATTTGTACGGAGAAAGGGGAGAGCACGAGTTGGTACAGAGATGTTGGGCCATCCGTCATCGAAAGGGTCGTCAATTTCGATCGTGAATCGAAGAATTTCGCAAACTTCGAAATCCTTCGTCCGTTCGATTTCACTCCTCTGTCCTCGCCTTTCCTTCTTCCTCCATCCCCCCACCCTCTCCCGTATCTCCATTTTCTTCCCTGCGTATCCCGCGTCTGCTTGACGAGGGTAAATTCCTCCTCCTCCTCCTCCTCCTCCTCCTCCTCGAGCGGAGTTTTTTCACGGCGGTGGCGAGAAACGAGAGCGATCCGTAATTATTTAAGTTTTTTTTAGCTTTCCATCGGCCCCCCTCTCGGTTCGTTAATTAAACATGTCGATAAAATTGGCCGTCATGCCAATGGTAAGACGTTGATATTATCTAGAAATAGTGCAATTAAGACGGATCCGTCTCCCGTCTCCTTCCTCCATTTTCCTTCCATCTCCGCTTATTTTTTCGCTGTCAATAGCGTCACGTCAAATTACGGTTCGGCAATTAGCTTCGTCGTTTCGGCAAATTTTCTAAACAACGAGGCGCCTTCGCGTAGCAACGTTTATAACGCGTATAATCTGTCCGTCTCATCCGATTTATTTAACAATAATAAAGGGAGAAGTTAGACTCGAGATCGATGGAAATTATCGGCGATAATATTTAATTACGCGGTTCGAGATTCTATTCGAGAAACTTTTCCCTCTGAAATTCCTTCCTTCCTTCTTTCTTTCTCTCTTTCTTTTTTACCGATTATATCGATATATAAATTAACCAGTTAAACAAAGAGAAAAGAAACTCGAGAGATTGAACACGAGAGAAAAGGCAAGCAATGATCCAACGATTGTTCGTAACGCGTGAATTTCGCGTGTATTCTTCGCTCGATTCGATCGAATCTCGCTACAAGTTTTCCAAAAAAAAAAAAAAAAAAAAAAAGAAACAAACAAAACAAAAATCCCAATTCAATTTGATTCCGATTAATTAGATTTCACTTCGATTCTCTTATCGAGCGCGAAACACCGGTGTTTCGAGACGACAAACGATTTCCGTGTTGGAAACGCAGTTATAACAGGTCGAGGCAGGTATCACTCGGCAATTCAGAGTCTTGATCATTAATTTTTGTCGAGGTTCAACAAATCGGTTCGGCGAGAGGTTGCGGCGGTCCGTACGGTGATGCCCATTGACCCACGGGATGGGCGAGAGCAGTGGGTGGTTGCTGCCTGTCTAGGCTGGGAACCGTGGTTCCCGCTGGATGGCTGGCCACTGTCGTCGGGTACGCCACTTTGCCCAGCGCCTCCGCTTGAAGAGACAGCATCAACCGATTCGCCGCCTGCCTCTCAGCCTCTCTCTCCTCGGCCGTTTGCCTCCTGGAAACAGAACGATCCAACATGAACGACATCCATGCTCTTCGTTTCGTCGAAACGAAAGGATTGTTCGAGTAATTTGTAAATGTTATGTCACAACGATTCGAATGGGACGAGGGATTGAAAAAGAAGAAAAAGAAGGATCGCGAAATCAAAGTTATTTTTTACAAATGTAAAAGTCGCGAGCTTCGTTCGATCGAGTGGCGTGGTGGAGGGCGAAACAGGAGGGAGAAACTGGGGGGTGGAAAGAGAGCGGTGGTTGTTGGGGCGGAAAACAGAAGACAAACGTAATAAAGTTAATTCGATTCGCCCGAACCTGGCGGAGCGCTAGCTCGCTGAGGGGGAGACTGCCTGTTTTCTAGCGCCAAGTCTATTAGAGAACCACAAAATGGCCGATCCGTTGCCGGAACCTCGATAGATCCGCTTTTGTCCTGTATGGAAGCTTTTGTACACCCTCGTACGTGTATAAAATACTTTGCGATTCTCTTTTTTCTTTTCTTCTTCAGGATTACGAAAGAACGATTTCACCCTCCGCATCCGTAATATCCAACGACCGATATCGAATCGGCGTTAAAGAGACTTTTGAAAATTCGCTTTTCTTAAACAGGAAGCAACCTTTTATTTTCTTACGATTCTCTCCTTTTTCTTCTTTCTCAGAATTATCTTAAACTTTTCTCACCGAAAGAACGAGTTTCGTCCATTCGAAAGGGATCCTTCACCCGTAACATCCGATCTCGACCGATCTTCGACCCATCTCGACGCCTCTTACGAATTTCAAACAACGGCCGATATCGATTGGATCGGCGTTAAATAGACTTCTGAAATCTCTACAGGCCTCGTCCCGTAAGGAGGGGGGGAGTCGAAAAGTTGCTCAGTCTGAAAGGCGCCAGACCGGATAACGCGGCCAATCAGCGAGCCGCGCTTTCCATACGGGCCACGAAACACCGTCGTTCCATTAGAGTTAATCTCCGGTCCTCGGTAATTAAACGGTTTCGTTGTACCTTTGTTTATCTCTCGGCGTGCAGCGGGGTTTCAGCTCCTTCCTCTCTCTCTCTCTCTCCTCCCCCCCCCGCTCCCTCCTCCCTCCTCCTCCTTCTTCGCCGATCAGCTCAGCGCTGATCCTCCTCCTCCTCCTCCTCCTCCTCCTCCTCCTCCTCGGTAGCCCTGAGATGTATCAAGGAACGAGGCGGGATTGAATCGGGACACAACTCGATCGGTTGTCGGACGATTAACGACTAGAACAGCCGACGATGTCGAGCAGAGAGATTTCAGATAACGGTCGATCCCCTCCTTCAGCCCGCAATCAACATTCGATCGGGTTCGTTCATTTTATCCTCGTTACTACTACCGAGTCGCGATAATTGTGCGTATAGGAAGAGATCGCGTCCAAGGGCGGCGCACGACTGCGCCTCTTATCTTTCCGCGGCTCGCTCCGATTTACGATTTCGCCCTTGAATTGTTGCGACATCGAAGAAAAATTAAAAGGAGGATTTACGATTTTGCGCTCGACGGATGGAGGAAAACTCTTATGAGTCGAGATCGATTGTATCGAATTTGAAAGGGAACAAAACGAACGTGTACGATTTTGATCGCGTTTCGTTATTTTTTTATAACTTGGATTTTCCGATATTTCGTCGTGTGTGTGTGTGCGTGCGTCATATTTATACATCTTATCAACGTTTAAAATTGGAGTTCTACGATTTTCTAATCGAGAAACGTGTGCACGAGATTTCCTTTAAGATTGTCGGTTGAATTATCGTTCTAGGAGGAAACGAATGGCGATTGGTTACGGTTAATTGCGATCGAGGTGGTCGTGTTTTAAATCGTAATAAGTAATCTCGAAGCTATAACCGATAGTGTAAGTGGAAAAACTTGTTGGGCACAGTTTCAGCTTCGTTTAATAACGATGAAAATTAATGGCCGGAGCGTGCCATTTAACAGTATTTCGTAAATTTTTACGTGTACAGATATAATATTTTATAATTATTTAAATTTCCTTATCGGTCGTGAGTATATTATCATCGCATGAATCACTTTCTTCTCCTGTTGCAAAATCGTGCATGTTCCCGATCACGCGTCGCGCGCCATCGATAAAAACTGCGATTAAGAATAAAAAGGAAAGAAAAGACAAAAGAAAAACAGGACCATCGAGTATCCCGTTTTATCCCCCGTATCAATTGCTCCAAATTCGAGCTCAACGCTATAATATATCTTAATAGCGTTCCAGATTTTAAACAAACTTTCTTCCCCTACTAAATTTCGCTCTTTCAATCTTTATCGCCGCGTTATCCAAATCCTATTAATTATTCACCGAGTTGCGATACACGTTATTAGATATTAATTTAAATACAAAATTATAGAGCGATTACTCGTATCCTTCAAACTAGGTGCACTTTGATCGTAAATTTGGTTTAAACGAAACTGGTTCCTTTGCGCAACAATCGACAGCAGGAATCAAAGACCGGTAGCCAGCCCCCTCTCGATTATTCTTTCATTTTTAAAAATTCGGTCATCGAAAAGAAAGGGAAAAAGAAGGCAACAAAAACGTCGAAATAACGCCGAATTACGCGTCCTTCCTTCGACGATAAGATTGAATTTCGCCGTTTTATCGGCCGATTTACGATTATTCGGCGCGGAAAACGCCGTTGCGAAGAGCGACACGGCGCGCCTACACCCGTGCAAGTAATTAACGCGGTTACCGATTAATAATTGAGGGCGCCGTGCCGATTACATTTTGCAGCCCCGCGACATAACCGTATTCTCTGCCAACCCGCCGCCCATTACTCTTATCGTTATCCCCCTATCGTCGACTATAACTTTCGGCCAACGCTCGCCGCTTCTTCTAAACTTGATTTCCTCCACACACTCGCGCATCCCGATTTACCCTCCCTTTTAACGAGTATTTCATTTTTACCCCTTTGCAGGAATGTTAATTTAAAAGAGACAAAGCGTTTAGAGAAAATAATTTTAGAGAAAAAGGAGGCTATTACGAATTCGTTTCGAAGTTTTAAATTTCCGTTCAAACGATGGAATGTGGCAATAATGTGATAAGTCGTTATATATATATATATATATATCGTTTTTTAAAAGAGTTTATCTGCGTCGCAATCTCCTCGTCATACGCGATTTAAAATTATCCTTCTGAATAAATCGTGCAATTCTCTTCTCGGAGAATTTTTTTTCTTATACAAGTTTCGATTCGAGTCATCTGTCAATCGTTTCTTGCTCACAAAACGCGTTAGAGAAGGTTCGTTAAGAATCGACAAAAGACCGATAAAAGAAATTTCATCGGGGAAAGGGAGCGGTTCCCTTTTCGCGAGAGGGATTTCCAAGCCCGAGAAAAGAAAAGAAAAAGGAGAAAGAACGATTGATTTTGCATGGCGGCGGTGTTGGACCGGTTAGAGCCGTGATCCAACACGGGGAAACGATGAATGTTTAACGAGGCGAACGGCGGTAGATCGAAACGATCCGGACTCGCGGATTCGAGAGGGTTTGACACTTTAAAAGCGGCGGCAAGAAGGCCGGAGGAGAGGAAGGAGTCTGTGACCGGACTGGTTCTCGCGCGAGACGACGAAGGGGTGCGATCCACCACCACCATCGCGAAGGGAGGAGAAGAGAGAGAGAGAGAGAGAGAGAAGAGTTGGCAGTCAAAGCAGGGGCGGACGAGGGTGCACGATGGGGTGGATAGACTGCATTATGTACGGGACAGGGCTAAGCTGTTAGGTATCTGAATTATTGAGACCAAGTTATCTCATCTCTGCCTACAGTCATCTCGTTACTTTAAACGCAGCTGCTCGCTGGACCGCGGATGTACAGATCCGAGGGAAGGAAGCGTATTTTTCTTTCTTCCTCTTTTCTATTTATCACGTGTATTCTCTCTCTCTCTCTCTCTTCTCTTAATTCACGTTCCATCACGGAAAATATACATCCAATTGCATATTTTTATCTCTCGTCTCGAGATTTTTACCAAGTTTTCAAACGTCGTGTAGATGTATTCGTTTTATAACGAGAATAGAAGGTTTTCGACCCGAATTCACACGAGTCGAGAGAAACGAGAGATGTTTCGTTGCTTTAATCGCATCAGGAAGAAAGTTATTTTGTTCTCTAATTTTGGAAACACGCGAAAAACCGATCCTTCTTGATATTCGACTCGGGACGGAGGATCGTTCATTTTATTTCGCGATAGATTAAAGTTTTGGCTATGTATTTCATGAATTTCGCTTCGATCGAATTCTTATCCGTCGAAAAGTTTTTACCGTGCTGATACGATAAATCGATTTGCAAAAATCGTATAATCCGATTTAAGTTTCTCAAAGTTGTTCGATTTCGCGTTCGTCAATTACGATTCCACGTTTCCCGTTTAGATGGAAAATTTAATCCGACAATGAGACATCTAGACGAGCGTGTCCACCTGTCGCCGCATTTCCTTTTCCGAACGCATTGAGACGGATAACACGTGTCGTCGCCGTACAAATCGAATTTCACGCTCGCTTCTCGAGGCCACCGTGTCTATTACGTAATAAAAATACACTCGCGTGTATCTTCTCAAACTAGACTCAAAAAAACGATCGCAAGATCGAAGATTAACGAAGAGTCGAAACGGGCCATATCTGCGTGTTTTAAAATTTATTCGATAAAATTCTCGCAAATAACAATAACAATAATAAAAATTTCATCGTTATAAGCGCAACGACGTATCTCGATAACTTTTTTCCTATGTTTTTTTTTTTTTAACGTTAATTTAAATTCATCCATCGATCGTTGCTCGTTCGATTTCGATTCTTGCACAATTCTTCTACCTTTTCTCTCTCTCTCTCTTCTTTTTTTCTCTTAACTAGCTCGGATAGAGCTAAGAAGATACAATATTGCGTTCGTGATCTTACGATCGACTCGGGGAGAAAAGAAAATTACCATCGGCCGGTTTCCAAGTAAGAAGCGTAATTTTCATTTCTGCGCGCTTTACGACAAATGCAATATCGCAGTTTAAGCGACAAGAAAGACAAGAGATCCCGATGCAACGGCATCGAACCCGTTTTTGCAACCAGTCCTGTTATCGATCTCTTATTAGGTCGTTACACGAACCTTCTAAAGGCGTTCTCTTCCGGTTTTTATTGGCCGCGTTTTACATTCCACGTTTTTACCTATTTGCCCCTTTATTGCTGCTGGAACAATGCAGGAGAGCTGGTAACGGCACGCTGGCTCTGCTGCTAAACTTCGTCCACTGTTGTCCATAAAAAAGGCGAATGAAACTCTCGCGGGAAATTTAGATCGTTGCGCTCGATACTTTTCGATGATAAAATAATTTTATTGAGTTTGACGAAACTGAAATAAAGGGAGAGAGAGAGAGAGAGAGAGAGAGAATGCTATAAAACGGAATATTTACTCTAATTATTCCGAAATTTTAGAGGAAATCTCGGTTCAAAACTACGATTTGAGCTCTGCGATCGATCAACATTTTTTTTCTTAATTCTTAATCGAAATGGAAAGGAAAAAGTTGCTTATTTCCTCTATTTTTTTAAAACGATCTTGTATATACACAATTCTTCCGTAAAATATCTATCAAAATTACCAATATTCGCACAAAACGATATCTCACTTTGCCGTTTCGTCCCAATGTTGAACAAATTCTTGAAAAAAGTATCGTTGCAGAAAGCGAGTACCGAAAGAAACCGTTCCAAGAATTTTAAACGACCTGGTCTACACGCTTCGAACAAAAAAAAAAAAAAAGAAAAGCGGCCCTTTTCTATCTCGTCGAACACCTCTCTAGACCAAAGTATCAGATACCTACTAAAAAGCCAGGACCACGATCTTGGCTACTTGGAAGGAAAAATACACCGTGGAACGAAGCATGGAGAGGAAGCTTGATTCCTCTTTTCGAAAGGTGGGAGCGGGACGGTTTTAGAGATGGTTTTGGAAAAAAGAAGGGACTGAAGGGAGAGAAGAGGAAAGGAGGGGGGGGGGGATGGGTCGCAACCCCTGGACAAATAGCCTGTGGGCTCGTCTCGCCGCGTAGACGCCCCTGATATCGGGGGACCCGCGCCACGAACGGGCCCCGTTTTATCTAAATGACGTGTTTTCGTCCTCCGTTATCTTGAAGAGACTCCAATACCGGAGACTTTCGATGCCTCCTCACCGATACGGGACGTTGTCGCGACCCGCTATTAACATTCCAACCGCGGTTTCCACCTCGCGTTTTCCCTTTCGACTCCTCTCCTCGGATGAATCACGAGAAAATGGAAAGGTTCTATTAATTATTGTTCTCTGTCGAATGGAAGAAGGATCCATCCGTCGACAATGACACAAAGAAATTACGTTTATCGACATCGAAGCTATTAAATATTCGTTTCTTCTATTTTGCTCTTTGATGAACGAGAGAATGGAAAGTTACATTCGCCTCTATTTTCCTTTCGATTCCTCTCCAGATTCGATGAATCACGAGAAAATGGAAATGGTTCTATTAATTATTGTCCTCTGTCGAATGGAATGGAAGAAGGATCATCCATCGATGAATTGGCATGGAAATTACGTTTATCGAGACTATTAAATATTCGTTTCTTGTATTTTGCCCTTTGAATGAGAGAATGGAAAGTTACGTTTGCCTCCACCTAGCGCGAGATTTAGAATAATTCGAAGGGGAAAGGATTAAAGGATGGAAAATATCTGGAAAATACTTACCTCCATTTTGTTCGTCTGTTTTGAAACCATGTCTTGACTTGGGCGTCGGTCATCTTCAAGGTTTTAGCCAACGCCGCCCGTTCAGCCGATGCCAGATACTTTTGTTTGTGAAAACGTTTCTCCAGCTCGGCGATCTGCAACCTGGTGAAGCTTGTCCTCGGCTTCTTCCTCTTCGGTGGCGTCCTGTTCTGATAAGGATGCCCGATCCTCCTTGGAAACGCTCCGGCCACTGTTGACAAAAAAAAAATCCAATTTACAACTCTATAACAAAATTTAATCCACCTTACTTACTCGTATAATAATAAACGCATAATAATATATTCTCGTTCATCTTGGATAAATTGTTGCGAAAGTAACGATCGCTTGAAATTTGAAGGAAAAAAATTAATAATGGAGAAGAGTGAAAAAAAAGATCACCAAAATAAAATTGTAAATTAATTTTGCTCCGTTTCGTACGTCACGAACGATCGACGAAACCTCGCGCGAAACGAGGGATGGTGAATGACGGCGCCGCGTACTCGAATTCGAAAGAAAAGCGAATAGATCGCGAGAGAAGAGAAACGCGAGGAATGGAAGGAATCGTTGGCGCGAAACAACGCGAAGATGGACGAGGCGCGGCAAACAAGCGTTAAAATTCCACGGGCGCGAGGAATTACTTGTGCACACACGATAGCGCTCAAGCTCTTTCAGGGACGATTATAAAATCGTAAAGAAACGAGGCTTACGAGTTTTACACGAAACGATTTGCCGCAAATCGTAACGCCGATCGTGGCCGGCGCAGGTGCATCTCGCGATTCGGGTATTAATAAAATTACCGTTAGCCGCGATAGGATCGCGCCACTTCTCACCGACGAAACCTCCAACAAACGGCGCGCCAACTCAAAACCAAGCTTTATCGTCCACTTACGCGTAAACTAGCTGCGTAAATCGAGGGAGAATGGGGGGAGAAGGAGTCGAAACTCGCGCACGAGATTCCAGCCTTATCGGTACCGGCCGTTCATCCTCCGCTAATTATTCGACGATACCTGGAAATATCAAGGGGAGGAGGAGGGGAAATAGGAGGGCCGATTTAATAAAAGGGCGGGCAAGCTTTCGATATCGGGACGACACCCGATTATCGGAATGTAGGCCGAGTACGAGAGAATTGGAAACGATAAAGTATAATAAAGCCAGTTGACTCCGTTTCTCTCTGCGTGTATTTGTTATTGGTCGATCGACCTTTGGTTAATTTCGAACGGGACGATTCGAAAATGCACCTTCGTTAGGAAGGAGATTTGAAGGGAACGATTTTTAAGGATTGGAAACGAGCGAGATAAATTCCTGAACGATTAATCGAATTATTATATATCGTTGGTCGATCGGTGTACAAAGTAACTCGATCGAGTTGGATTCAATAATAATTTAGAGAGAATGGGCATTAGAGTCGGTTCACCGCGCACTTGAATCGCTCGAACGTGACAAGAACCCTTTCCTCGCGCGTTTTCTCAGAAAATGACAAGGAAGAGCAAGAAACGAATAACAGTCGAAAATATGATTTCGAAAGTATTTCGACGCTATTATTCGACATCTATCTCGTTGTAACGTTGTTCGCGTCGTACATCGCTTATTTCCTTCTTTTCTTCTTCTTCTTCTCCTCCTCCTCCTCTCTCCGTTTCATAATTTACTCTCGTTAGCGAAATAATTCGAATACCGGAACATCGTATCGTATCGTTTTCCGTAATTCGTCCTCTTTGAAGCGTGACTATCGACGTCATTAAGCATTTATCTGTCGTAGTAATAGCGCATGAATAACAGAAAGTGCATTTAATGCGATATGCATACCGGTAGATTTAATGCTTCGAAACATGATACGCGGTATGTAATAATGAGAACGAAGATAAATACATTCCAAGACGAAATCGTCGTCGCTTGTTTTATTGTTTCTTTCTTTTCTTTTTTTTTTTTTTTCATTTGTAAATTGGAGATTATCACGAGTACGATAAAAATTATACCTACACGTAGTTGCGATATCGATACGTTTGTAATAATTATTAACTCGAGTATCGTTTGGTTATTTAATCAAGCGATACGCGACGACCAATTTTCATCTTCGAATTTTTATGTAGCGATATTAATAAAACTCGATCACCGATCGATACGAATTCGACTCGTACGGGCTCTTTCTTTATTTTTCCCACGATAAAACGAAATACAATTTGTTCCACACGAAACTGCACACCTGACCCCGCGCGTCTCGCGCCAAATCGAATTACATCTCTCTCTCTCTCTCTCTCTCTCTCTCTCTGACATGCGATCAACGATACATTTCCATATCAAATCTTCGTTTCTACGTATAAAGTAAGCAGAAACGAGCTCCAATTATTTCTCCATCATGATCATTCTTCGTAATTGCTGGATCGTGAAAAAAAAAAAAAAAAAGAAGAAAAAAAGAAACAATCGCGTCAAATCTCTCGCCTGTTCGTGAAGGAAAGAAAGAAAAAAGAAAAGAAAAGTAAAGGCTTTCCCCATCGAGGTTATTCCACGTGTGATTAAAACGAGTAATTTCATCGATTCGATGAAAGAATCGCGTGCAAACGTCTAAACAACGCGGAATCGTCGTTGCGTTTTAACGCAACACGAACGATCACCGCCCGGTCTCATTTCCCCCCTGCAAAAGGTGCAAAGGCGAAATACGCGATTATTAAAAGCGGCGATAAACTGGCAAATACAGATGAGATATCGTATCGCGATTTTACACAGGATGTATGAAAAGTGCGAGTCGATCACGCGAAACAACTGACGAATTACTTCTCCCCTCGTATTTTCCTCCTATCTCGATACGATATTTTTATCGTATTTTTAAACGAGCGCATTTTTCCTCCTCCCCTCCCTCTCATTTCTTACTTTCCGTCTGTAGAGAATTATGGACGGAAATTTCGAAGGAAAAAAAGAAAAAAAAAAAATCTTTGGAAAAAAAAAGAAAAAGAAAAGGACGAGAGAATTTATTCGCTGGATCGATCTGTAATTTTAAACCACCCCGTGCATTTTATCGCCAAGAGAGTGGAAACTACTTTGGAGGAGAGCGTGGCCCAGATGTCGCTGAAATATGGAAAAGATTACGCATTCCCGCGAAAAGCACTCTTCACGACTACGGGTCTCTGTCACGGATACCCAATAAAGATAGCGGCCGATTAAAGGGGGCCGATTAAGTTGTTCGCTTCGCGTGTAATAAAAACGAATTAATATAATAATCGAAGACGAGAAATTGCGAAAAGACGCCGTTTCTCTCGGCACTTCGCTCTTTGCGTTTTCAATTTTGTAGCGCGAGTAAATAAGATAAACTGTAAAGAGGAGCGCGTAAGCAAGATAATTTGACATAATTTGCATCAAGTTTTTTCTTTTCTTTTCTTTTCTTTTTTTTTTTTTTTCGTATTTCACAATGTTTCGAAACGAAACGAATGCACGATAATTGAACGCAGGTTTTTCTCTTTTTCTTCAATATCTCGATCTAAGAAGCGAATTTATTCCTAGACGGATAATATAATAAGAATGATAGGCGGAAAACAAAATTTAATCACGATGGGGCGGCCATTGAGCATCGAAATTAACGATTAGTACGATAATGATCCGGATGGCGTTTCTACGGAAGAGGAGAGGCAGAAAATGGCGGAAAATTTCCCGTGAAATTCAATTTGACGCGTAACTGCTCTCTGTTTCTCTCTCGAAACCGAGGGATCATCGTTAAAGGGTAAACGGCCATCAGGTGGATATTATTCCATTATCCATCCCTCTTGCTCCGCCATCTACATCCTCCCCTCCACCCTTATCCAAAAATACCATCTTCCGTAGAATTTTGCGAACACGAGACACGAAATAATCTCGTCGATAATGCCTGCTCAATTAAAATATAAATATACACCGCGAACACAGCTTTAATTGAGACACCAAATGGTTCGATGCGATAAAACAATACGACAATTGGGATAGAATTCGATCGTTGAATCTTCGTTTTATTTTTTTCACGAAAATTATTAGAAATAATCTACATATAGCCGGCACAATTGCGATTTCGATATTCGTCCCATCGATCGAAGAAATGGGAAAGAAAACCCTTCGCTTCTGATCGAGATCGCAACGCGCAATAGACGGACAATTGACGGATAATGACAAAGGTCTCCTTCGAAACCTAATTCCACAGCTCGATCGGGCATCGGTATATTCTCGTCCAGGTATTTTTCGAGAAAAAACTGCTTCGTCCGACTACTCCTCCTCGCCTTTCGTTTCAACGAGCGAAAAAGAGAACGGATAAAGAGAAGACAGAGAGAGAGAGAGAGAGTTGGTGGTGGTTGCGTCACCGTGTCGCTTATTAGGACGATAATCGCGTACCGGTCATTATACGTCTCCGTTACATTATCACGGTGTGTACCGGTGGCACGGTTTCCCGTCTCTCTCGTAATTCATTCGTAATTACTTTCGTAGAATAGGTGGACGCACGCACGCCATCATCCATCCATCCATCCATCCATCCCTTCCTCACCTTCGATACGGACGAGTCTCGAATTTACGAATTGGAAACCGAGGTCTCGTTACGATAAATCGGGCAGCACTAATGAGACGCTCGCAAATTATCGGGGTCCAGGCATGGATTTTTGTTGTTGTCGATTATTAATAAAAAGAGGGAGGGGGAGGAAAACGAGAGGAACGACTCGTTCGACTACCCTTTTCGCTTTTTCGTTTCGAAATCGAATCGAGGAAGAATCGAAAGAGAGAGAGAGAGAGATGTATATATATAAAAGGGAGAAGGAGGGAAACGAGATAGGCGGAGAGAAAGAAAGAAAGGAAAGGATGGTTGTCGTGCGTAGCGACGATATCCGGTTCGCGTCGTTTCTCCTCGAGAATATCACGTCCCGTCGTTAGCGTGTCTAACGACAGTCTGGCCGCTAAAACTTGTCCAATAGCCGTCCGTAGTAGCTGACTTCGCCTTGGGAAGCCTGTTACCGCGCAATTTTGGTTAAAATACCACGGCGACGAGTGTTTGCGGTCGAAGTATTTACCCTGACGATGTAACCTTACGACAGAGCCGCCGCCACCGCCGTCGCCGCCGTGACGTGGTAACGCGTCGTTCAATGCCTCTAAAAAGGAACGGTTTTAGAAGCGAGGCTCGCCCATTACCGGGGCGAAATAACGCGAAGGATTATCCAGGAAAGGGAGAAGAAAAAAGAAAGAAAGGAGAAGGGGAAAGGAAAATTC